TCTCCGCTCCACCCAGGCTGCAAGGATCCTAGGCTTTGTCCTCACCACTGGCCACCTGCCGCCCCGTCCTAGGGAAACGGGGCACCTGCTCGTTCTGCCCGAGGAGAAAGCCAAAGCACAGCTAGGGGCGAGAGCAAGAGCAGCCCCGACCTTGCAGTAGGGACAACAGGGTAGTTCCACCATCCTTATCTTGCTGCAAACACTGACGCAGGCACCGCCTTTTTGGAAGCAAAGGCCTGGCTCCGCTGCGATCACTGTGCAAGATTACGAAACACGGACGAGGTGCCCACTCCCGAAAGCGCGTTACACAAAGTCACATCCTTGTCTGAGTGCAGCACGGAGCAGCCCGGCGCCCCACGACTCCTCGGAGCGACGCAGCCGCCGCGCCGCGCCGCTCCGAAGGGTGGGAGTTGGGAGACAATTCAGTGCGCCGTGCGCTAGTCCAGGTTACCCAGGGAGGCTTGCAAGGCATCAGGGGCTGAAAGAGCCCAAGAAACCTGCTCTCCACTCCCCCTTTGCATGGGTCTCTCTAGGTCTGGCCCAAGACACATGGACAAGGTCTGTCTGCCCTGGGAGAGCCTCCCATCCTGCACCTCCTCCCCAGCCTGAGATGCCCCCGAAGAGCGTTAATACTTCCCCGTCACCAGGAAGCAGCCCCCTGCCAGGTAGAGACAGCCGCTCCGAGTGCAAGAACTTGCAGCAGCAGCAGCTGGTCGCTTTTCTCTTTCCATCTCCAAGAAGAGGGACCACACCTGCTGTTCTTTGTGGTTAGTTTATTGCAACACGAAATCATCACTATCGACTGAAACACACACGTGGAATTCATGAACATACAGCAACGTGGCTTCGACAATGCCACAGCTCAGTACAGTACAGTACAATAAACTCTGTTTGTACAAAATACTCTATTGGCTTCATAAAGTTACTCTACGGTATGAAAATACCCTGACCGGTTCCTTTTGTAAGATTTAGAGTAGACTGCAATTAAAAAATAAAAATCCCCCGTAACTCACTAAGTCAGCAGCCAAAAAAAACAGGAGTCGAGGACTTCACAGTGCATTGGGAAATACTGTCACAGGCTCCCGGGAACGGGAAGGTCACTTGCAGTGAAAACAGAAATCTATGCAAACACCTGGATTCGGCTTCACTCCTACTCTCAAAACCTAGCAATATTTGCCTAGACTCCTCAGTTGTGCAAACTCTGTTGCTCAGCAAAAATATAGCTCAAAGTCTCTGTCATGAAAGTTGATAAAGTAAAGGCTTCTACAGCAATGCAGAGGGGAAGCTCTGGAGGGTTTCCCAGGGTAGATTATGGAGATGATTTTGTTAGATCAGGAGCCTACCTATTTAGTGTACAATTTGAGATGCGATCTTTTTCCTAAAAAAAAAAAAAATCAGAGATTTAGGCTTTAGGAAAAGCCATTTACAAGTCACCATGTGTGGACCGGATCCACTTGGGCTTGCACGCCACCAACCTCCTTCTGCAGTTGAGACAATTGTAAAAAGAAAGGCACAGCAGCCGGAGGTGTACGTTTGCCCCTCACTGGCGCTCTGGCAGCCGGCACTTGAACAAAACACTCTTTTGGTGTTTTAGACCATCATGTTCGCTTTGGGAAGCTGGGGTTTGAATGTTTCTCCTGACTTCGGTTCCTCCCAGTGCGGTGCGTTTCCTAGAGACAGCCCTGCAGTGCTCTGAGCTGGTCAGCATTTAAAGGATAAGGTGAATGGCATTCGGACGGCCAAGGACGCGCTTGGTCAGACCAAGAGGAATTTGAGCGAGGAAGAAGTTTGCTGACTGTCAGAACCATCTTACAAGCCAGCTAAGCTCAGTCTCCCTGCAAAGACAAGGACACGTGCTCGTGGGTTAAATCAGTCCACGGCACCACACCTCTACCACCACCTGACTGCCCGACCTGAAGAGTTTGCAGCTTGAAACCTCCATGAATTTCCCCCTACAAAAGCACATCCACTGGTGCACCCCGGGAGGCAGCTATGGAAAAGGATGCTACTATCACCGACTAGGAAGAAAATTCAACATGTGGTGGGTCAATTATACAAAAACAAGTTTATTTGGAAAAAAACCACACACACAGCCTCTTACAGGATTTCCTAACAACATTCACTGACACTTGACAGCCGGCGACGGGTCGGTCGCAGGCTGCTAGCTCAGCCCTGCCCCGTACGCTGGGGTATTGACCCATGCTAAAAAAATAAATACGTACAAACAAGTCTCCCTCCTCGGCGTCTTCAACATGAGCCACCAGGCTCGTCTTAGCGGCATGAGAGCGAACCGACTCAGATCTGCTGCTTGCGCTCTGCGGTCTCAGGGCCGCAGGAGAACGTGGTATCCTGGCGGCTCCCACGCTACTCGGGCCTACAGAGCAGTGTGCCCCTGGCATCAAAATGCTAACAGAAAGAGATGGGGCTGGGGTAGTATGATCTGCTGGCCACATGCCATGTCCTTGAATCACCGCTGGTCCCTGGGCCCAGTGTGGGAGCCTCTGTCCTGTATCTGGCCCCATTCAGTCTGCACAACATTCAGCCCCAGTGCACTGAACTACATATCCCACCCCAGACATCAGGGTAAATCCAGATCCCCTCACTAAGAGCCAGCTCGGCTTTCACTGAAGAGAGGAAGTGTTTTGCAAGGAGCAAGATCCCCCCCAAGCTGGGCAAGCACCCTATTTGCAGCCCTATCCTGTGCAAAGGGAAGTGCCAGAGGCTACCCAGGAAGAACAAGGCTACAGGCAACTTTCAAACAGCTCCGCGGTCCCTTCAGCAGCTCTGGGACAGGGCCAGGCAGGGGGAGAAGTCAGGTCTGGCTGCCAGTGGCAGGCACCCGATTTCAAGCGAGACAGCAGCTGGAGACTTCCAAACCAGACTCCGCGGCCGCACGGCACACGGCTCCAGCCCAGGCCAGCTGGGATTGCTGTCGGGAGGCTGTAGGCACAGGCTCACTCCCCTGCTCTAGTGTCCGTTTCATCTCCTAGTGTTACCATCGGACAAGGTGTCAGGGACGCAGCTGGGAGGCTTCTGGCCTAGAAAAGCGGCACCGACTGGACTCCGAATGCTTCCCAGGCTATCAGGCCCCACTTGGGAGAGTGGGAGGAAAGCCTGCAATGGAAACCTGGCTGGACCCCAAGAAGCGGAGCAGAGAAGACAGCGTTGCAGATCGGCGGGCGCGCCGTCCGCTCCTCTCGGGCAGCCGTTTCAGGGTGTTTCACAAAGATTCACTACAAGGAAGGGGAGACTGAAAAAACCTACAGTAACTACAGTGTTCACAAGGTGCTAGAAACGGCCTCCGAGACAGCCAGACGGCCTCACGCACCCAAGAGTTTATCTGCTCGTATTTATTCTAAAGACCACGTCCCCCCTCCCCACCCCCACCCCAACAAAAATATCCCTACCTCCACGGGGAGTCTGGCAGTAAGAAGCATGTGAAGCAGTATTCATTTTAGACATGGCAGTGAAGGCAGTCAAGCCTCATCTCATCCAGTATCCTTTTTTATGGCTTTTTAAAACCCCCCTCTAAGCAAAGTACAAAAAACTAACTACATCATGGTTTACGAAGTGGAGTTAAGGCTCTCTCCAGAGTCAAACAGGTGTGGAAACTTTAAGGCACACATTAGTACATTCATGTAACAGTTAAAAAGCCAACATATAAAAACACCCCCCAACCCCCCAACACAAGGATACTGCGCACTCGGTTCTCCATCCACGCTCTGCCGCAGTCACAAAGAGCTGTGCTAAAAATGAACACCTGGTTTACACACTTCTCACAACGGCTCGATGTCTGGGGAACTGCCCTGCCGGTAGCGTTTCCGAGTGACCGCTTCCTCCGACCCCTCCAGGAGGAAGACGCCAAAGACCGGGTCCCTCACATGTGGCTCTCCTCCTCCTTTACCCCGTCCTCCATGCTCTTCTGTGGCAGGGTGGCCACATCGTTGTTTGCCTCCTTCTGCTTCTCCACCTCGTCCAGGTTGGTCTCCTCCTCCTTCCCTTCCTTCTTCAGCTTATCCTCTGCCTTCTGCTCCTTCGCCAGCAGCCGGTAGTTGATTCCCATTCCCACAAAGAGGTAGATCCCAGAGACTATCAGGATGATGCCACAGGCCCAGTAGGTGTATTTGTAGTCACCATATATGTCATTGAGTTTTCCTGATGAACAGAGGGGAGACAGTGTCACACAACAGACCCAACCCACTGCAGGGTCGGACTTGTCCTGAACTACCAGGCCTGAGCCTTGCTCTAAGGGTTTTCCCCATGAACATGCACACACATTTACTCTCCTAAGCTTAAAACCATGGGTAAGGCTGCACAATAAAAACCCCAGGGTTAAATCAGGTGCAGGCAGGCCAAATGGCACAGGCGCCATGCACGCACACACTCACAGCAGTCGTCAATCCCTGCTTCCATTTTAAAAACGAACACCTTGAGCAACAGGCTGCTCAGGGTTGTTTCGTCTTAAAGCGCCACAGGCTGAGGGCGCTGGGGAGGCGTTTCCAAAACTGAACAGAGGTTTCCTAAGAAATCCCAAGGCTGGAGGATCCACCCAAGCCCCTTGCCCGGCTCCATCCCCATTCTACCCCCGCCCACACGGGAAGACAAGACAGGTCTGCTGTGCAGTAGGGGAAGGGGGAAACACCCCGAGGTGTCCTGCTTCATCTGCTCCTTGTGCAAAGAGGCTGCCTCCCCATGGAGGGGACAGGCTCCTGGCAGGACACAGGGCTGCTGGAAGGGCTGGCCCGTGTGTGGCTGGCTCACCTGGGCTTCACCAGGGTGAGCCTCCTTGCGGGAGCGCTCCCTCTCTCCCCGCCGGCACGCCACGTGCCACCCCCTCCCACCTTCCCCAAGAGCCGAGTCCATACTGTACCTAGGAGAGGGGGTCCCAGGAGCACGGGGCAGCACTCCACGATCGTCACCAGCCCGACAGCGCTGGAGAACCTCTGCGTGCCCACCAGGTCCATCAGCGTCTCAAACAAGACAGAGCTGAGCCAGCCGAAAGCAAATCCGAAGAACCCTGCGTAGATGCAGAACCCGGCGTAGGAGGTGGATAAGGGAGCCAGGAGGTGGCACACGCCGTTGTAGATCACAGAGATAGCAAAGAAGTACTGCACCCTGGGCCTGATCCACTTGGTGTTGGCCACCAGGCCCATGGAAGGCCTGGCCACCATGTCTACAAAGGCCAGAATGGAGAGCAGGAAGGCAGCCGACTCGTTCGCGATGTGCTTGCTCTTGGCGTAGTTGCTGAGGAAGACCAAGGGAGTGAACAGGCCGAAGAACATGATAACGTTGCCCGACAGGTAGAGCAAGAACCCTCTGTGGGTGAACAGGGACAAGTCCAGGAACTTGTTGACGGTCTGGAAAACCGTGAGCTTCTCCTTCTTGGCCTTTCCCGCAATCAGGTCTGCACTGGCATCACCAGATCCTTCCTCTTTTTTCAGACCAGCTTTCCCGGCCTCCTGCAATGCTTCTTTAGTGACCTCTTTCTTCACCTGATTGGGTTTGGGGCCTATCGGTCGCATCAGAGATCCGGCCACACAGCAGTTCAGCAGAAGGCCGCCGAGAATTAAAAAGCTTCCCCTCCAGCCAAAGATACCGAAGAAGATTTGGTTCACAGGTGCCAACGTAGACAAGAACACAGGGCTCCCTGCCATAGCGAGACCATTAGCCAACGGGCGCTTCTTAAAGAAGTACTTGCCGATCATGGTCAAGGCTGGGTTCAAGTTGAAAGCCAGCCCAAGACCTGAAAAACAAGCAAGGATATGGTGAATTCAGACATAAGAGCTCTGCCCTTCTAGAGATCAATGGGATAAGGGCAGGGCCACCAGTGCTGAAAAGGCTGAGCAAGAGATATGGGCCAGGTTATTAAGTATCACAGCATTAATTCTTCCAGACACATTTTTCTCAGCAGATTATATGCAAATAAAGAGCTGTGGCTGGGCACCTCAGATGAGCATTGCTATCCACCTGTATTAGTCTTTCCTTAAATTGCAAATTCTGGTTTAACCTCCCCCCACCAAGAATCTAGGCGTCTCGTTTGTATTGTGACCCTGAACAACGGGGAGGAAAGGGGCCACTCACCTCCAACAACCCCCACGCAGAAATACAGCTCCTCCACCGTGTTACAGAAGGACGCGGCGATCAAGCCGCAGCCCGACAGGCACCCCCCAGCAATCATGATGGGCCGACTGCCGTATTTGTTCACCAGGATGCTGCTGATGGGACCTAGAGGGCATCAGAAAGCATAGTTAGCCTCAGCCTGGCTTGCCTGCACGAGAGCAGGGGGAAGTGCTGGAGAAAGCAGACTTTGCTCAGGAGTCTGTGAAAACCAGGTGCAGGCAGGCAGAGAGCAGCGGCTTCTCTTGCATCTCCTCGGCAGGACGAAGACGTGCAGATGCTTGACTAACACACATGCTGCCAGCTCCATCAGAAGGGCAAGGCTCAGGTTGGGGCCCAGGCTGAGTCTGCAGAGGCCCCAAGACATTGTCATGACACCCCCAGGAGAGCCCGTGTGCTGCTACCTTTGCAGCATGGGGGAGTTTGAGCCCCTGGGGTTGTCAGGAGCCGGAGCCCGAGCTGACATAGCACTGCCTCCCCATCTGCTGTTGTAGCCAAGTCAGCTCCCTGTGTGCCCGTTTCGGGCTCCCTTGCCTGCCCGCCCCCACCCGAGCTGGCGTGGAGCAAGGGTCTGTTTCATGTTAGTGCCTGCTTCTGCTGTTTGTTCCTTCCCTGAGCTGCCACTTCAAACGCAACAGTCACGTGCAGATCCTGCTGTCGCGCACCATGAAGAGGGGGTGGAAGGTGAGACGGCCCCTGAACAAGCATGTTCCAGGAATCAGCTGCTCTTTAAAAAGAAGTCTTTGCCCACGTGGCATCTGAGCCCCCTTACTAGGCCAGTCGGACTCCCCCAGCCCCCAAAATTGGCCCGCAGAATCCTCCTTGGTGGCAAGTGCTGTGTGAGCATCTCTTGGGACATCGACCCCTCAGAGACTCCCTAAATTCAGCCACGTGTGTCTCCTGTTTGGGGGGCCAAGACAAAGCCTCCCTGGCCCAGTGATTCCCAGAGAGAAACAGTAGCATGAGCTTCCTGAGTCACGACTCCTGGAAAGACCCCAGCAGACCTGGGAACACAAAGGCCCAGCACAGAGCCCCGTGCTTGCATTGCACCGGGGGCAACCTGGGGCGTGGGTCTCTTTCCACCCAGGCAGTCCGACTGCAGTTTTCCCAACCTGAACACGAGGGGCTGTCTAGTCTGTGGCCATCCCAAATGGGATTTGGGGTGAACCAGTCACTGCAACATGATGGTGCCTCGTGGCCCAGCCATGCTGAAGCCACGCAGTGCCAGGCCCGACAAAAGCATGCCGTCTGTGATGGTCTCTGCCCCGAAGCACTTGCCCACAAGAGGATGAGACCGAACACATGGTGAAGCATACGGGCAGGTGGGAAGGCTCAGATAGGCCAGCAGGGATTCGCAGCCAGGCAGCAGAAACAGTAGCTCCAAAGAGCCTCACGTGCAAGCGGCATTTGGTAATTTGCTTTTCTCCAGGTGCTCGGGAAGGCAGCTCACTCTGTGGGCCAGAGCTGACGCACTTCATTACCAAAAACCATAATCCAAAGTAAACAGCCATTAAGTCCAGAAGTGCATGCTCGACAGACACGAGCAGGTCTTTAAATACACTGAATGAACATCCATTGAATATTAACAAATCTAGCTTCACCATTAACAAGCAGCAAGGTCGTCAACATGTTATTCACAGGTACTCATCTGCTACTTGACCTTCTCACCCAGTTTAAACAGAGCCCGGAAAATGTTTGAAGAGGGACTGCTGGGAACAGGGCATTCCCAAATCCTAGCGCTTGGCCCATCTCCTCCCTCCCATCATACCTGGCGCCTCCGCGGATAGTGCCAGGCCCGGCACAGCACCTGTGTGCAACCCCTGCCAGTACAGCCCACCAGCAGCGGAGGCAGGCCCTGGAGAGGCTCCACAAGAGCAGACCCTTCCCTCTGATCTCAGCCCAGCGGGGGTGACCTCCCCACCCACCACACGGGCACTTGGCACCAGCTAAGAGCTGTACCTTGACCACTCGCTTGCTCCCTGGTGTCCCAAGCCAGGGTCTGTGGACGGCACTGCACCCCCTCTTGGGAACAGCCACAAAGCCGCGCAGAGCAGGTGGACTTCCCGGCCGGAGAGCGGACGGAGCCACCTGCTCAGTTTGGCTTTACAGCACCCTCTCAGCACAGCAAAGAGGGACGTGCATAGACGGACGTGCGCGCCAGGCTGGACCCAAGCTCTAAACCATCTCAAAGAGCCAAAGCCCTTCCAACAGGAGCTGGCCTGGACTCCACTGGCCAGAGGACGCAGCATAAAGTTGGGCAGGCTCCCACCTCCCTGAATCAGATGGTCCCTAAGGTGCCGCCCTGCCCTCACTCCCCAGTGTGTGTGAAGAAACAAGCCGGCTGGCTCTGCTGCTTGTCCTGCATCTGTTCTGCAGCAAGCCAAAGCAAGCCCCGCCATGGGTCTGGCTCCTGCTGCCAGGAGACACGCTGTCGTTGTGCTAAAGAAAACAGAGTTCCTGGAAAGACGTGCTTTTCAGGATCCAGGGTCTGGGAGGAAACTGGCCAGCAATCACAGGCACAGTCTGTCTCAGCCAAGCCGACATTCAGAGGTCCTGCTGGGTCTGTGCAGGCCCACAAAGACCTGCAGGGAAACGCTGCATCTTTGGGAGGGGGAAGGGAGTTGTATGTGTATCAGCACCACACACATCACAGCTTCCTAGAAGGGACACTCCCAGACCAGACTATGTATGCAAAGTACGCTTGGGATGCCCAAATGAGTAATCTCATTCCAGGAACCAAACACTGTAATTTAGGGGAAGGAGTGGCAGCAATATCATGACTCTCGGCTATGCAAAGTGAGAGGCAGTAAGCACTGTGGGGCCCCTGGGGCAGCCCTGCATGCTGCCCTTTCCCCGCGAGGTTTCAGCCCACGGTCACGCGCACATTGACAAACCGGTTTTGAGCACTGGGAGTGGCTGGGAGCCCAGCCATGGTGCTGGGGGCACTGCTCTAAGGCCAGGCCAGGGAGAGCCCGGGCAGCAAGTTGCGTCCAAGCGTGAGGCTCGTCCCAGCTGCAAGTGTCTGCATACTGGCTCCATCCTGACCACGACCCTATAAGCCGCTGAGAAGCACTGGGACAGCAGCTCCCAAGGGGAGTGCAGGGAACCACTTTCACTGGGGAGGGGACAGGGGGAAGAGAGACAGAATGGCTCAGTCAGTCTCATTAAGCCCCACGGTCACGGTTTCCAAGCTTGTTATGAGAGGGGACCAGGGAAATGTGCCGGCAGCCTCGCCAGCTGAGGGAGGACAATGCCGGAGCTGTTCCCCTGCAAGGGGAAGCCTCGTGCCTCGCTCGCCGGCTGACGTCACTTGTTTCGGATGCATAAATGCAAAGCAAGAGTCCAGCCGCTCGCCAGTGGACAGTGGCCACACGAGTTCTGCTCTGCTCTGCACCAGACACCACGGCAGTGCCGCGGGGGCCGCAGCTTTTAGTCCCCCATGTCACCAGCATTTGCAGTGGTGTTTGCAGGCGGCTGCAGAAAATCGAGGCCCGATCAGGAACGGGGCAAGAATCCCCCATGTTACCCAACGTGGTCAGAGCCAGCAAGGCAAAGGTGGTGTACAGGGAGATGGGGACAGGGCTCCAAACCAGCTCCTAAGCTTGGGGCAAGGGGATTCCTCCAGAGTTTTTATGCATTTCCCCATATTTTGGATCTGTGTTGCCATCCTCCTCCTCCTCCAAATGGGAGCACAGGGCACTGCCCTGGGCTAGCACTGCAAAGTACCCTCTGCTAAAAATCAGTGCGGGCACCCCGCTAGTGCTGGCCAGGTCAGAAGCCACAACGCAGCGATGGAAAAACCAACAAAGCAAAGTCACTGGGTGTGAGGCAGAGCAACTGACTGAGCAATCCAAGTGCCTGGATCAGATTTGGGGGCCACATCCACAGCTGGCGCGAGCTGGCACGCTTCCAGAACAGCTCTGCAAGCTGGCATGCCGCCTCGTCTAAGGAAGTGCTAGGCACAGACCCCTGCCTGCAGCGCAGTACTTATCTGCAAGCAGCCCAGCATGCTAGAGGTAGATACAAGATGTCAGCAGCCACGATAACAAGGACAAGTGCAGAATTATATAAGTTGATAATTCCCCGGAAAGACTTTACTTCCAGCTTTGCTGGACAGGCAGGACAGATTAACCTCATTTTCACACATTTGAGGCATTAAGCCAGGTTTATGCCAAACTCCTCCAAACTAGCCAGCTGCCCAAAGGCTCACCCGGACAGGGGGCCATGCTCGCCGCTGGGGAGGTTTTGGCTGAAGCATCCCAGTAAGGTGCAGTCAGGTCAGAGGCAGAAAGAAGACACCTCCCCAGGCATCAAGGTAAAGGTCCTGGCACTGCTGCCCAGGCCTGCTGGCTTACCTCCTCCATACATAACAGCCAACATGATGGAAGAAATCCAGGAGACTTTGCTGCTCGATGCGTTGAAGATGACCTCGATCTCTTTGAAGAACACTGTGATGGATTTGGGAAAGGCGTAGGAGAACCCGATGGAGATGAAGGCACCGATGACCACAGCCCAACCCCATCCTCCCTCCGGTGGTGTGTATCCCTGGGGGCCTCCGACTGCTGGTGCCATCTTGAGCGAAGTCGGTGCTGATGTAGCTGGGGTTCAAGGATCTGCAGAGAAGACAGGGTGTTAGTATTCAGCAAACAGCAGCATTTTATCCTAGAGCCCACACCACAGGGCAGCAACTTTGACCATTATGGCCTCCCTCGCTCCTTCTAGAGAGCCCCGAATCCGGGGTGGAGCAGAGCTACACAAAAACTCACGTGAACACCAAGAGCATCTAAAAGAGGTCAGGATGGGGCTGGGCAGCTCCCCTTGATTTCAGCAAGGGCCAGGAACCCCAACTGTCCCAGATAAGAGCCAGGCTTTGCCAAGGGCCAGTGCTTTGGGGTGTCTCGACTGGTAAGATTCCCAGGCGGAGACCCCCCGAGCAGCACAGATTCAGCCCCCCAGAAACACACGCATCCTGGACGGCGTCTCAAGTTGGGCACTCAACACGCCATTTTCTAGTCGCAGGCTGAACCACACAAGCTTTGCAAGTTGTGAATTAAGAGTGCCGGCACGGCTGAAAACGGAAGGCAGCTTTACACAAGCAGCACATCAGGCCCAGATTTAGGAGACGGTTGTTCAGCAGCACTGGCCTGACCCCCGGCAGGGAGCATGGGGTGGCACACATCGTTCAGCTGGCAAAGATCCATGCTTGGAAACTCACTGCCATGGCCCTTCCTGGAGACGCTCCCACGTGGGCACGCGGAGTCCAGAGCAGTGGCCACCGCGCTTCCAAGCACTACCAGGTCTTTGCTGCACTTTCACCAAGGCTGCTGGTCACGCAGGTGCACACGGGCCCTGCCACGCCGCGCTCAGCTCTGCAGGGAAGGCTATTTTCGGGCTCTACTCCATGCCACTTCCCCTTTTAGCCTCCCTGCAGCCACACACCCTGCAAAAGTAGGATGCAGCGACAGAGCTGGGAAGCGAGACAGCAAATGCGAAGCAGAAAGTGCAGGCTGGCTCCGCGCTTCCTGCGCTCTGCGCATAATCTGCCACGTGCGAGGCGAGGTAGCTGATATCAGATAAGAGGCGCGCATTGATGAGCTGGAGAGCAGGTCGCAGCAGGACTGAGTCCCCAGGAAGAGGCAGGTCTTAGACACTCACCCCGAAACAAACTGGCTCTTGCCTCAGAGACGGACAGGAGCCAGGTGCCTGGCAGCTCTTGCACAGGGCCTGGCAGCGTACGAAGCAGCCGCAAAAGGTCACCAACAGCAGCTAAACATAGCGCGAGGGCGAACAAAGGGAAGTTTCAGCAGGTGCCTGGATGCAAATGCTCTGACACAGCCTCGCTACCCATCCCTCCGCGCCGCCGGGAGCACTGGGGCCCTCCCAGACCTCTCCCTTGGTTTCTGGCTGTACCCATCAGCCTCTCCCCCAGCACACGCCATACCCCGATCCCAATTCCCCACCACCCCGGGGGTCCCAGCACTGCCAGCTCCCAAAGCTTTACTGCCGGGCTCACACTCCCCCTCCCTTCTGGCTCAGGCCACAGCAGAGCCCCTCGGCTACAAAGGGATCTCGTCTTTCATTCAAAAGGGCTGGCAGCCCTCTGGCTGCGGGAAGGACAACTTCAAAATGTGAAGTGGACTCGCTCTGGAGGTTCACAAGCCGAGAGGCAAGCAGAGCCTTTCCCCCACCACCTTTTCTAAATGCTCCGGGCTATTCTGGGGCCCTCTCAGGATTTCTAAACGCTTTGGGGCCAACAACCCCGCGCAAAGCCGGAGCCAGAGGGTCAGCTAGCAGCAGAAGCGATGCACAAGTTAATCCCATCCGGCTGCAGCGACAGAAGAGTTTGCACTGTAAGCCAAGCCAAGGCAAGGAAAGGAAATGACCACTTAGACCCAGCCCTGTTCCCAGGAATCAAGATGCCTGCAGTGCTTGCCACCATCTCGCATCAAGACAAGGCCCTTAGAGGCAGAGGGGTGAAGCACGGCAGAGACACGCACATGCTGCAGAGATGGCGGGATGTGCCGGAAATAAGACTTAGCCTGAGGAAATGTCCTGGGTAGCAGGGGCAGGCTTTGCCCTGAACTTCGGAGGCTGCTTGGCTGCACGGCTATGGCAGGCTGCTGCATGCATTCAGCACTGTGAGAGGGCCCTCTTCCCAGCGGCCATCTCCCTGCAGACATCCCATCAGGGTACGTCCCACTAGCTCCGACTGCCCCGATGTCTTCCCGTCTCCCACCCCTTGAGACTGGCAGCCTCACCCCCCCCACCAGCTCCTGCAACCTGAGCCAGCCCCGGCCTCCGCAGCACTGGAGCAATGCAATGTAAACTGCACTCGTGTCGCACTGGAACAGGAGACCACAATGCTGAGCACTGCCCAGTCCCCATTTTAAACCATCACATTTGGCTTGGTTGGAACTTCAGATCGGCCCACTGCAGGATGTGCAGCCTACAGCACCAGAAACCCGGGGGGCAGAATTCAGGGCAGGGCTGTGCCAAGATGCCCGGGCTAGCTGTTGCTGGAAGTAGGGCAGCTACTCTGGCACCATGCTTCACTCTGGCTGAGGCTGCTGGCGGAGTCAGGCTAACTGACCTGTGTGGCTGCACTGCTTCTGGGCTAGCATGAGCATGCCCGGGTCTACACAGCAATGCACTGCCCTGCAGACTTACTTTCTGTCCCATCTTGCTTGCAGGTTAAAGAGCTTTGAATCATCCACCCCAGCAGGGAGGTCCTCCGGCCAAGCCTGCCAGAGCTCCTGAAAAGCCGCCAGCCTCCTCCTGTTGGCTGTGCCTGACGGGCAAGAGCTTTTGGCAGCTTAATGTGGATCCAAATTGAAGGAGAGATTTGCGAAAGCCATCGCAGACTAGTTCACACAAGCGCCTGTGCCTTGGACTGGCATCCAGCAGCAAGGGGAACAAAATACTGCAGAATGTTTTATTGATGCCGCTTCAGACTGGGTCCACCTGATCCAGGCACCACTCACTTTTGCTGGATAGATACTTATACCGACTCTTGACCAGCGCAGCCTGCGACCACGGTGAGCAGAAGCAAGTCATGCTGGAGGCTGGACAAAAGGGTCCTTTCCAAGGCACTCCTGCTAAACAAACCCTGCGGCTGCCCCGATCGGCCCAGCCAAAGGGAGTGCTTATTCCACCTTCACATCGGGTGACTTCCACTACCAAGAGGCAAAGCTGCACAAAGGAGGGCCTTAATACAGATGAAAGCCCACAGGCCTTTGGGAGAGGAGCTCCCAACCGGCACAGATGCCTGGTCTCCTCGTCCAGCAAACCTGCGCAGCCGGCCCAAGTGCTCTTCCCACCGAAGCTGCGCAGGGCTGACAGGACACGCTCGCAGTCCGGGGGGAGCGTGGCGCCAGACAAGGGGTGTGCAGGGTACACCTGCCAATGGACACAGCCACAGGGACACCGCGCTGCTTTTGATATCCAAGTGGGTATCAAAAGCCTGGCAAAGAGAAGGCGCGGGGGGACTTGGCGGCTGCAGGTGTGCATCAGGGTCGGGGAGAACAGGCGTTCACCAGGGCTCCCCAAGGGAAACTAGGTCCAACGGCCACAAGCTTCTAGAAAGCCGATTCAGGCTTGATATAAGGAAAAACGTCTTTACGGTCCGAGTGCCCAAGACAGCCTACCCGCAGAGGTGGTGCAAGCACCTACTCGGGACACATTCAAAAGGCATTTGGATGTTTATCTTGCTGGGATCGTCTGATCCCTGCAGACATCCTGCCTCTGGCAGTGGGGCTGGACTCGAGAATCAATGATCTCACGAGGCCCCTTCCAGCCCCTAATGTCTACGAGCTCTCTGGATGTGAACCGCCCCGTCTTCTGGTGCTGCTCCATGCGACCCGACTCCATGGAAAGCACGCAAGTGAATGAATTGCACAAACTGCATAAGGAAGTTTCCAACCTATTCTTGTTGTGTGAGTTGTACTGAGCTTTCATAAGGTTTGCTGAACTCCCCCATTCAAATGCAATCACTTGCACAACCTACTGTGACTTGCTCCTTTCCCAAACACCCCTTCCCCTTTCCAGATCCAGCTCCCGCGGCAGCAGCTGTAAGACCATGTCCAGGGGGGTCATTTCTCACTCGCTCCCCACCTCTGATCCCCCCCATTTCAACAATGGAAAATCCTGAATGGAGGGAGGGTTTCACTCGATCGGAGAGCATCAAGGTAGACTGAAGGGCAGAAAGGGGCAGTCTGCTGTTTTCCACCAGCCAGCCAGCTGCAGCTCTGTCTGCCATTAAAGGCAATTGAGAAAGATATATCTTAAAAAAAAAAAAAAGTTTCTCTCAACGCTTGCAACTTTCCCTTATGCTCTATGCCCTCTCATGGAAGAATTTTTGGTCAAAGCAAAGAAACCACACTTCAAAAGCAGCCAGTTAGTTCAGCATGGAAATTCCCAAGTCAAGGGAATAGTTATGACGCCAGTTTTGGAAAAGGGGCTACGTGTCAGACGTGTTTAGATCTTCAATTCATGACTACCAGGCAGTCAGCTACAATTTACTCTATTAGGCACTAAAGTAGCTGTAGATGCCATAATTAAAGCTGAGACCGAGTGAAGACTGCAAGCACCACATCTGCTGTGCTGGAAACTCTTGATAAATCCCCAGGCCCCGCCTGCACCTTCCTGGCAAGCAAACAACAGGCGGACAAGAAGTCTTGATCACGCAACAGGTAACTCCAGGTGGGGACCGTCCAGGGGCTGTTCCCCTCCTCAAACTTAGGAGGCTTTAGGAGGAATATCCAGGATATCTGCTTATACAACGCAGCGAGTGACTGTGTCCTTAAAGAGCCCAGCCTGGCCGAATTCCACAGCTAAGACAGACTTCCTTTTATAAACACCCTGTAAACACAGGGAAATATTTTTGGAGCCAACCGTCCACAAAAATCTCTGCACAATGCCCACTTGTGAAGGCCCGGGACAGCCATCCTGCACGGAGGACCCAGAAGGCTTTTTATCCTCGAGGTCTGGTCAGCTCGGCTCTCTCCCCGCTTTGCTACAACCCTTCCCCATGGCACGCCGGCGTCCTGAGCAGCTGTCCGAACGCAAAAGGCGTCCTGGCAAGCCCTCCTCCTCCTCCTCCTCATCTTGGCTTGCAAAGAGCCTCCCTTGCACAACCCAAGCCTTTTTCCCCAAAAGGCGATGCGCTCTGGGAAGAGGCCGTGCGCCAGCTCAGCTGTCTGTGCGCCCCAGGGCGCAGGCAACATGCAGCCTTTGCCTCTGCTACTCAACAGCAGCATGTTGTTCCTCTAAGACCTAATAACCCCAGCCCTGGTTTCCAGCACGGGGGAGAGGAGATGCAGGCAACAACAGGCACAACCCACACGTGCAGTCACGCACCCTGTGCAGCTGCGCTGGATCCCTCTGGAGAAGGGAGACACGTGCTTGCAGCGCCGCAGGGTCTACGTGTCACGGCAAGCGGCTCTCTGCTACACTCCCCACCCACCCAGACCCTCACAGGTTTCCTATCGTGCCCACTCCTGGGCAACCCCTGAACTGGTACTACTTGCACACTTGCACCAAGATGCTGGGTGCTGTATTTACCCACAACCAGAGCTCATGAGCTGAACAGGTGAGTCAAGGCTAGGAGGAAAAGGCAGGCAGGTCCAGAAAGGTGAAGGGACTTGCCCCAGAGATCACAGAGCACATCCCTAGCAGTCAGATTTGACCCTAGCCCCAGGGCATTTCCCCGCATCTCCTGTGCGGGGTTAGGACCCGTTCCACACTTCGGAGGTACTCGCAGAGAAACCCTTCAGCCCCTGGCCCGAGGGCTGCCTGCTATTCCTACTGCATCCTCGCTGCCTGGGGCCCGAGACCCAGAACTGAACTGCCAAGGTTTTTATCAGGCCTTGCACCAAGGTGTTTACATTTGTCCATCCTCCCATGGATTACAGACTTGTGCATTTGGCAAATATTTTGCTTTTCCGGCTGCTGCCTTCTATTTGCTGCGGTTTGTCTGATATCCTCGTGCCATCAGAGCTGTAAGGAGGTGGTGTTTGTACACAGCACCCTGTGGAGGGGTGTCAGCAGGAGCCTGGCAGCGTGAGCAACCCCTCCCCGCCTTGCCATTGTCCTCAGAGGCAAAGTGCAATGTTAAATTGCTCCTGAAAAACAGGAGCTGGCTGTGACAAGACTCAGCAGGCTTTTGGAAGAGGCCTGTGTGCAAAAGCAGAAGGTTTGGTCGTCCAGGCATCACCTGCTGCTCTGCCATCTGGTTACAGCTGGATACAGCTGCACAGAAGCACCTCGCGCCGCCCACACCTG